GACGCCACCCCCCGGGGCTTTGGCATCATCCCCGGGGCTCTGCCCTCACCCCCAGCCCCCATCACCGCTCTGGGGCTCTGCCACTACCCGTGGGGCTCTGCTCTCACCCCCAGCCCCTGCCACCACCCCCAGCCCTGCCACTGCACCACCCTGGGGCTCTGCCCTGACCCCCTGCCCCCAGTCCCTGCCACCACCCCGGGGCTCTGTCCCGACTGCCAGCCCCTGCCACCACCCCCAGTCACTGCCACCACCCCCGGGGCTCTGCCACCACCCCCAGGGCTCTGTCCCGACTGCCAGCCCCTGCCACCACCCCCAGCCCCTGCCCCCGGACACTGCCACCGCCCCAGCCCCTGCGCAGGGCAGGAGGGCGCTGGGTCGGTGGCCCCTACCTGGTGGCAATGAGGGGGTAGCTGTGCGCAGGCTTGCCCAGGGCGTCACGGCTCTGCGGCAGGCTGCCGTACAGCAGCAGCTCCTTCTCAGTGAGGACGGCCAAGAGGTTCCTGGTGCCGGCGCTGGGGAGCTGCAAGGGGACTGGGTCAGGGCCACCGGCAGCGCGGTGGCACGGGGTGGCGAGGGGCATGGGGGTACCTGCTCGGTCAGCCAGCCCACGTGCTTGACGTCCCGTCCAGCCACCGTGCCGGCACCTGCCAGCTGGGCTCGCAGCTCCTCCTTCACCCGCGGCAGCAGCGCGCCCGCGTTGGCCTGGATGGCGCTGAGCCACGACTGTGCCGTGGCCTCGTCCTTCGCCCGCAGGAAGAGGGCAACGCGCCCGTCCGCCGAGCACACCTCCAGGTACCTGCAGGGACACGGCCCCGCTGGGTCCCCGCCGGCCCTCGGTGCTCCGGGGCACCGTGCTGGCATCGCCACCCCCGGCACCATGCCCTGACCTGTGCTCCGGGTCGGCGGGGAGGCACTTGCGGGACACGTAGCACATCTTCAGAGGCACGGTCCTGCCCTCCCGGAGCTCCCGAGTGGGTAGGAGGGGTGATGACCGCTTCTGCAGGGTGGCAGGCGAGGGGTCCCAGCTGACTGTTGCCCCCGTGGAGGAGTTCTTGAAGTAGGGCGAGATCTCCTTCATGTACTTCACTGAAAGAGAGGCAGCACCCAGTTGAGGGCATGGCACCGGCCAGCACAGCCCCATCCTGCCCACCAGCACCCATCTGCCCTGCTGATACTCCTCACACCCTCCCTGCATCAGAGCCGGTGCCGCCTCCATTACCTCCCCAGAGCTGGTACCCTTGGGTGCTGCAGGTCCTCTGCCCTGCACCCCTGTGGGTGTGGGGAGGGGATGGCACTGGTGGGTGAGGTTGTGCCAGAGGGTGACATGACACCTAAGATCCTCTCAGTGCCTCTGCCCCACCATCCCAGCTCGGGGAGCCCTCCAGGAGGGATAAAAATGGCCTTTTCCTGCTTTTTTCTTTCCTTTAACCCAGATCAGTTCACAGATCCAAGTCTGATCGGGTCCTCAGGGCAGCACAGGGAGGCAGGGGGCGGGGAATGGGCAGGAGTCCCAGGCCAAAATTACACAGTCCAAACTGTGCTGGTACAGCCGGTCCCGCCGCCAACTGGGAGCAACAGCTCTCAAATACCATGGCTTGGCCCCAGGAAAAGCCTCGAACTGCATGCTCACAGCTCGCACAGCCCTGCCCCGTGAGTTATAAACCAGAGACAAGAAATCAGCTTTCAGTCCCCGGCAAGTCTGACTCTGGAGCCAGAGCCCTCAGAGCTGCACCAGGACAGCAGCCGGCTTCCGAGGTTTAGGGGAAGGGGGAGATGAAAGTCACCGCCAATTGATGGGGCCCCATAGCTACATCCTGAAAATTAGGTCTGCAGCACAGGCCAAAAAGCTTTGGCTGAGCAGGGGGGGATGCCAGCCAATGGTCCTGCCCTGGGATCAGCTGGTGGCTCTAGGGAAGGGCTTCCCTTTGGTCGCCCTTGGGGAAAACACCATGGGACAGACACGTGCCTGCTGCCACGTCCCCAGCCATCACTGCTGGTTCCATGCCAGGTCCAAGTCAGCAGTGTGGGTGGCAGGAGGGGGGACACGAGCTTGGCTTTGCAGCCGACTCTTGTAGGTGGCTGGTTGGTGGACCAGCTCCATCGCTGCAGCAAAGCCAAAGCAGCCTGATTTTGTGCCAAAAAAAAGCCCTCTTCCCACCAGGAGAGAGTCTGCACACAAAGCCTACCACCCCCATCCTTCACCTGCCCACCACCCCCCATCTTCCCCTTCATTCCTATCCCAGCGAGCCCCCAGAACCTCTAAATCCTGAAACTGCGGCACGAGCTACGGTGGGGCATGGCAGGGAGGCAGAGCCCCGCTGCATGCCCCGCTCTGCCCGGCCCCAGCGGGATGCAGCTATAAATGGCTGTGATGCTGCAGCAGCCCATGGGTCGGGTTACCCCGCGGTGGCCCCGGGGCCAAGGAGGCAGCATGGGGCCACCAGCCTCGTGCCCTATGCCTCCCATTATAAATAGCCGCCGTGTTCCCACAGGCATTTGAGCCACGTTGGATTTTACCCCAAGTCATTAATCTTGGCAGCGGGGACCTGCCATTATCCCGGTGCCTGGGAACTAATTGGAGTTCAGAAAGATACCATTCAGCCGTTGAAACCCGAGCAGCATCCCCGCGCCAGCCGGTGGCTCCCTGGACACGCGGAGGACGTCACCAGCATTAGCTGTGCGATGGTGGGGTCACGTCCTGACAGAGCCATGGAGGAGAGAAGCACTGCCCAGCCCAGGACAGGGCATGGAGAATTAGGCAATGGCCAGCTGTGTGTCTGGCACGTGGCTTTAAGGAGGATTTAAGGCTGGTCACAAAGCACCGATGTGTTCCTGCAGTACAGAGGGGTCCCAAGCCAGGACAGGGAGCTAGTACGAGTTGGAGGCTGCAGTGCTCCCCAGGGGGCTGTGCACCAGGGCCAGGCCACTGTCCCATGGGAGCTGCTGTCTCCTCTGGTGACCCCAACATGGGCTTTATAGCGGGTTGACTTACACTTCTGCCAGTCCCATCACTGCAGCAGGATCACCTGGTATTGAATGGATTCATTAATTACCTCCATCTCATTAAAGCCAACAACTCAGACCATGTTATGCATCATCTCTGCTACTGATAACTGTAATGATTGAATTTTATTTTTTTTCTAATTAACATCTTGCAGTGCTGGGGCTCCCAGGCTGGCTGCCCTCTCCTTCTTAGCCAGCACCCTCCAAAAATCACTCAGCAGAAACACTGCCTCACTGCTGTTGACTTAAAGCCACCTTCAGCAGGCAAACAGCCCTCTCGGTGGCTGCTGGGCTCATCCACGTGGCCCCCAAAGCCATGCAGGCTCTCTGTTCCCCCAGGGAGACAGCCTGTCCCACTGATCCTCTCCAGGATGGAGAGGGGACAAATAGGACCTTTAACTGCTCAGGGATTTGCACTAAGTAACACTTCATTTTAGGTTTTGGGGAACAGCAAAAGTCTCTGGGGAGGCCACATGTAAGCAGCTGCTTGTGGCCACCCATGCCTGGACAGTCCCTCTGCAAAGGGGTTACAGCACAGGGGCTCCCAAGCCCACAGCATCGTCAGAGCATCGTATGTACCCCGAACCCTGCAGCGAGCTGTGTCGAGGACATGTTTAACCAAAGGCCCTAGGTCTACCCTGCTCTTCTGTCTGTGTTGCAGTTGGTTTTTTTTCTCCTCAGCGCTCCAGAAAGGGGCAAAACCATCAAAATTCCTTGGTTTTACTTCTTGGGTAACAGATTCTCCCCCTCTACCAGTCCATCCCTCCTAAGGATGGAGAACAAGCCCAAACCAAACACTCCTGTACCCTTGATCCCAAGTCACCACAACCTGCCCCACACACATGCCCATGGCTCAGCACCGCCTGAAGCCAAGCTCCTGACCCCCTAGAGCTTCACCGAGGAGCCACAAACTTTCCTCCAGCCAGGAAAACAGCCCCAGCCACAGGGATACCCAGCAGCAGGCTCAAAGCCCCCACCCACCACTTGGGCCACCAGCCAGGTGCTGGCACGCTCTGCTTCAGCCCGGAGATCACGGCATGGATTCAACACAAAGAGGTTTAAGACTGCATTGTCAGTCAGGGGTAAGATGAGTTGTGCTGTTTCCCTTGCCAAGAGCTTTCCAGCAGCATCTACACAGCACGGCAAGTCAAAAAGGTCCGACTGTACTGGTGGCCATCACATCAGGAAGGCTTCCAGATTGGTCCTGGAGATCCAGCACTGTCCCTAAGGAGTTGCTAAGCCCATGTCCAGCTGGTCCCTCTCTGCCTCAGGAACAACAGTGCAAAATGAACATGTTAAATCGGGGGGGGGAGGGTGTCAGCTAACGCACCTCCCAAAGAGACACCCTGAAACTACCTCTAAACTTCAAGGTGACGCTGTGATTTTCTTCCAAAACACTCAATGCAGGGGCTGCCACAGCCACCCCATCCAGCATCCCACCCAGGGACTGTCCCCTGACCCCAGCTTGGAGCACAAACAAGGCAGCAACTGCTGGTCCCAGCTGCCTCAACTCAAGTCCTTCTACCCCAGGGAGGAAGACTCCAAGGGACGCTGCAGGATGGAGGTGCCACCACTGTCCCTCCTGCCCTGGGACCCTGTCCTAGTACTCAGTGCCACATGTCACACCCCTGCTCTTTGCTAAATATTCCCCTGTGCTGCATGGCCAGCTGTGACCCATGGGCTGAGTGATCCTAGGGAGATCATGGGACAACTCTCCCTGTTTCCACAGGAGAAGAAATGTTCCCAGAAAACTCCCCAGGGAAAGCAAAGCTTCAGGGCAGCAAGGTGTGGAGGAGGCAGGAGGATGTGGACTCTCACTGTCTCTCTGCATCAACTCCAGGGCAGGTCCAAAGCCTCCATTTCTGCTTGGGTTTGTTACCATGCCTAAAGCACAAGAGTACATGCAGCGCTGCCGAGGGCAAAGCCTGGCTGCTCAGACCCCGAGGACCGTCACATCTGCCAGAAGATATTCACTTTGGTGTCCCACAAAGAGCTGAAGGCCACCTCAGGGCTTTCTCTCCTGAAGCCTTTCTGAGGCCCAAAGGGCAGCAGTGATGGGGAACTGCACAAATCTCAGCTGCCACCACCTGCCTCCACTCAAAACACGCTTCCACCCTGCATTGTGTGTTATTTACCCCAGGGTCACCTAAATTTTGTGGGTATTTCACATTTCACACCACACACATCTCCACCCTCTCCGACTGCCTGGGCTTCCCACGGTTAGGGCAATCAGCCCATCAGAGCTGGGCATCCCCAATGCCGTGCCCTCCCGGCACCCCTTAACTTTTCTGAATTTCAAGCTTCCAGGCCGTTACTTGGCCAAGCGAGTCCTGGAGAGCTGCGACAGCCCCAGGAGCAACCCTGCAGCCAACAAGCCCGAGGCTGCCACGGAGGTGAGATGCCCACAGCTGCCCCAGCTCCTCCTCCCCACTGCTTCCAGTTCTCTCCCCGTGCCACTAAGGCACAGGGGCCTTGCAAGAAAACCACTCCTGGCACCAAAGCCTTTCCCAGGGCAGCTGGAAGGATGTTTATCAGTCTTTCCCCTGCGGTGGAAGGTCTCTGGATACCAAGCAATGCCAAAAAAACCCCCAAAAACAAAAAAACAAGAGAAAAATTAAGGTAAGGGAGAGCAACTCTCCCCAAAATAACAATGTAATATAAATACAGTCAAACTCCTCCTGCAAATATCAAGAGAGTAGTTTGGCACATCCAAAAAAAAACTTGGCAGGACACACTGAGAGGTATCTGCGTGTCCTCATGCCCGGCCAGCAACGACACCCAGGAGCCAGAAGCCAAGCTGAGCAGCCCAGGCTAAGACCTGGCACGTGGAGCCACTGCTGATATTCAAATTAAAATGCATCGCCTCCCAGCTCTGCCACTTTGGAGAGTCTCACTCCAGCTCACTGCCCTGTGAGGTGGTGCAAGCTCTCCCAGTTTTGTTACCTGCTGCAACACTGCTTGCAAACTACCTTAAAAACTCCTAAAACCAGGAATGAATGCAGCCAGGAGGAGCAAGGCAGCAAACAGACACTGGCCATGCCAAATTACTCAGCTTTGGTACTTCAGAAACCATAAGGGAAGTCGGAGTCACACCTGGCAGCACGCAAGGACCAGAAAGTGCCTAATTGATGTTAAGGTGCTTTTCTCCAAGTTCTGGAGCGAGCCCAGGCTGTAGAAGGGAGCAGGCAAGGCCCCTGCTTTAACACCCTTTGGGCACTTTAGGGCCACCCTCTGCCCCCCAGCCCTGTCACCCCTCCCTGGGGCAGGGCACTTGGCCACCAGCTCCTGGAGAGCCATCGGGGTGGCAGGTATAAGGCAGGGGACGCCCCACTCCGAGGCAGGGCCACCACCTCCACAGGGCAGTGACAGCCTGACGGGGACCACACCGCAGTACCAGCCCTGCCATCCTCCACGGGCAGGCAAACCCAAAATGGGGAGGAGATGGAGATGCACTATGTTTATACCTCATGTCTGGGATCAGATGAGCAGCAGAGACCCCTGCCCCACTCCAGCTGCTGCCTGCAGCACCCCCAAGCAACACCACACTGCAGGAGCCCAAAGGCATCAGCTACACACTGAGCTCCCTCCAGTGTCAAGGTGGGAGCCAGCCCAGCCCCACTCTCCTCCCAAGGGCACCTGCTGGGAGTTTTAATTAATTAAGAAGCCCAGCAGGTCATACCTGAGCTCAGTGAGCCACAGCAAAGGCCCTGCCTGCAGCTGCCTCCTGGCAGCGCCTGGCTTCCCAGGGGGATGGAGGAGGAGGAGGAGGTGTTACAGGGAGAGAAGTTGTTCTTTACAGAGAGGGCAGCTCATCTCCACCTCCTGCAGAACCTCTAGCAGAAAGGAAACCCACGCCAAAGTAAAGGATGAAAAGAAAAAACAGAGAGAGGGTGGTCCAAGAACAGCAGCTACAGGGAGGAATTTCGCAGACTCCCAGAGAAAGAGGCTCTTGTGTTTCTCTTTGGTCAAAAAAAAAAAAAAACCCACCCCAACAACAACCCTATCTGCTCCCAGCAGCTGTGCAGAGCAGCACATTCCTCCGGCTGAACCGTGGTCCTGCGGCTCCCAGGAGAGGAGGAACCCACAGCAGAAAGGGCTGAGCGAAGCTAAAAATGAAAATCTGGAGCTGAGACAATCTGGGGAAGGCACGAGAAAGCAAGAGCCACGGCGGTCGCTGGCAGCAGAAGACACAGAGCTCTTCTTTGTCCAGGCAGAGCCCAGAGCACTGCCCCCAAATAAAACCTCCCTTTTGGATCTGCAGCCCTACAACCACACCGGGAAGGGTCTCTGGTGCCAAGACCCTCTCAGTCAGCCAGGGCGACCCAGGGAGCTAGTTGGTGGGGAGGGGAGGGGAAGGGTCCTGTCCCGAGGGACAAATCCTGGGTGCTCAGCCCTGCCCGGCCAAGCTGGCAGAGGGTGGGCAAGCACGGACAGACATGATGTGAAGGGTAACGGGAGAAGAATGGGGTCTCTCCCTCAGGGCTCCCACGGTCCCAAGCCACCAGCCCTCACCCACTCCCCAAGCGGGGTTCGGGGGGCTCCTGCAGTGTGCCAGCCCCCACGGGGTTGGGAGACACCAGGATCTGGCTGCCTGGTACCAAGAGGGAGCCCATTCCCAGGTGAGCAGCTCCAGTCTCCCCTGGGATGGTGAAAGCTGCATCCCTGGGATGTTTGTAGCCTCAGCTGCCAGATCTGGGGGAGCTGCAGTTGGGGTTCAGCTGCCAGGGATCTCCTGGAAGGCTGCTCCTGTGGCTGCACTCCTGAGCTGGCCCTGCCTGCACCCGGGAGCCTGCTCCTCCTGCCTGCCCAAAATCCTCCCCAGCAAAGCAAAAGGTGCTCAGCAAGGAGCGGGGTGCCAGCATACCCCCTCCCTGCTGGCATAAGCATGCAGAGCCACACCAGCCAAGGATGTGGGTTTAAATGCAAATCATGGGAAAAGCAGAAAAAGTTTTCTATTGCTCCAGAAACTGCAGACCTCAGGGTGATGCCATACAACGGAAGAGTTGCAAACCCCATACACCCATCCCACACCTCCCATCACTGCCTGCCCACGGTCCCACAGTGGGGAGATGAAGCCACTGGGCAGTGGGCAATGGCACACACATGTCTCTCCCTCTCTGGAGGGAGATAGGGAGATCCCAGCAGTTACCTCCAGCTCTCCAGATGAGCAGATAAACCAGTCTGCACATGTTTTCCATTTGAAAGAATATGCAAATGTGTATGCAGATGATGTGCCACCCCCCTGCTCCCACTACATCGCCAGGAAAAACAGGGATCAGCCCCTGGAAGCAGGAGGACCCTCGTACCTCCTCGCACCCTCGTTTCCTACCTTCCAAGACTACCTCCTTGCCCGTCTTCTTCAACGCCTGCACTGCCTCATCGTGCGTCGCCTCAGAAAGGTCGGTCCCGTTGACAGAGAGGATGGCGTCCCCCACGTACAGCGCCTCAGTCTGATCCGCCGCCAGCCCCTTAAATATCTTGGAGATCAAGATGGGCATTTTATTCTCTCGGCCACCTTGAAACAGAAGAGAAACAAAGCAGTTGTGGCTGTTGGAGCACACGGAGGAGCGGGTGGGGAGGGGGATGCTTGGGTACCAGCTGTCCTCAGCGAGGCCGAGCCCTTCTCCCAGCACTCAGCCGCACCGTGCCAGGACAGCCTGCTGCCCCATTTCCTCAGATGCCCACATCATGCCTGTAACAACCACAGTAGCCCAAATACAAGGCTTTAGAGCAGATGAAGATGATTGCTCCAAAACCACTCTGAATGGTCGCAGATTTCCTTACAGAGCGAACACGTAACCTGGCCATCTCCCCATCAATTTTGGCAGCAAAGCATGTCTTTATTTGCATTATTAATCGTGTGTGCTGAGCGACTATCCCAGCTCCAAGGACTTCATGATCTAAACTGATAAGACAGCTGAATGTTTTTGGAGAGGCAAAAGAGCCAGGGAGAAGTGAACCAATCTGGCTGTTTGCTCCTCTCTGCACAGTAGCCCTATTTACCTGCTGCTCCCCGTTCTCCACTCTAAAAGGATGCTATTCAAACCTCCCAGCGGCTTGAGGAGATCAATTTGCACGTTAACTTTTGAACCCGCAGGAAGATCTGAGCAGCATTGCTGCCTCCGTGCCAGGGAGCAGGGGTGCAGCAGCTACTGCCAAGGCCCAGCCCGGGCAGGAGCAGCCAGGGATCCAGGGATCAGCAGCCCTGGACATGCCCTACGCCCCAGGACGGCCTGTCCCAAGGAGCCTCCAAGAGATGATCTCTCATCCCGGAGGGAGATGTTGAGCCCAGCCTGTTGTCACCGCCTGCCCTGGGGCTGCTCCCAGCCAGTGCCACAGGCATTTCCTCACTGAGAGGCCTGCCAAGCCCCTCAGAGGGCTCTGGTTATCAGCTGTCAGAGGCCCCAGCGGGGGCTGCTCCGAGCCGCGGAGCCCGTCCTTACAGCAGCGGCTCCTCTCCCGGGCTGCCTGCACCGAGAGCCACTGCCAGGGCCAGGAGCCTCTGCCAACTCGGCTCTTGCAGGGCTCCCCGCCGTCCTGCCAGCCAGGGGAAGGCCAGCCCAGCAGCTACAGCACCCATCCCCTCGCCACATCCCAAGGCAGGACACCTCACTCGCACCCTGGTTTGCGGTGAAGCATCCCTGGGTGAAATGTGCCTGGCACACTTTTTAACCTGAAAGCATCAGCATCCCGGGCGAGGAGCGATGGCCTCCCCCCGCAGCGGCAGTGGCACGGCAGGGCTGTCCCACCGCCTGTAACAGCTCCTAGCTCCCATTTTACATGACAACTACTTGGTTTCATATACGTCACTGCAAAAATAAAGTTTTAACTGAACCAAGTGGTGTTTCTCCTTTCCTGGGAGAGCCACAGAGCTAGCAGTAACTTGGCAACCAAGGGGTCATTACGAAGGGGGCTTTATGCTTCCCAAAAAGAAGGGCTGGCAGGCTCAGGCACCCCACAGATACAGCCACCAGCACAATTTCGATGCAGTCCCAGCACCCAGACATCCACACCACAAAACCTCCCCACTTCCAGAGGGAGCCGGAGGCTGCAGCCACATCCCCTCCGAGCTGGGAGAAGCCACGTCAGGAGGCAAGAGTCCCTGTCCCTGGGGCTGCCGAGACCGCTGCCTGCCCTGCCCACACACGGAGATACGAACCCTCTCACCCACGCACCATGACAGCCCTTTGCCTGCCTGTTTGCTGCCGGTTTCAGTCTCCTTTCACGGAGTTTCCAACACGCTCAGAGCCGCGTGAAAACCAAAGGCAGGCAGAAACGCCACCCTTGCGCCAAGAAGTTTCCAGCCTGAAGTTCAGGCACGTCACCGAGGAGCGGGGCAGTTTAGGAAGGAAAACAGGGATTGTAACGGAGGCTTCCCGCTGCTCAGTTCTGCGGGAGCAGACATCTCTGAGCCTGAGTGCGTTGGTTTAACACCCCAGCTCTCCGTGCCTGGAAATCCCCAAGGGCTTTACAATCGCTTCCTTCGTTTTGCCGGCGGTTTAAAAGGGACATTTCTCAGCACAGGGGCACGGAGGGGACAAGGACGCACCGGCAGAGCCCTCCCGTTGGTCGCAAAAGGGCAGCGTTCATGTAACCGGGTACCCTGTGCACCCCACCTGCCTCACGAGACAGCACCCTGCCCTTGCGTGCGGAGGGGCAGTGGGACCCCCCTCCAGCTCCCAAACACCGGGGACACCCGCTCCGGCCGGGGAACGGCAGGCAGGGGCTACCCGGTCACTGCTGCGCCCCAAAGCAGTGGGCTGGGGATGTTCCGGGCCCCGTCTTTGCCACGCGTCCCCTTCCTCGTCCTGCGCAAGGGCTGGGTCAGGGCAGTGCCATGGGGCGTGAAGACCCCAACCCCGAGCCCAGCCCCTGCCCCAGCTCCGCTCCCCCCCGCAGGGTTTTCTTCCAAACGTGGGAGCGAGCTGCTGGAAGAGGCGGCAGCAACAGGTCCCGGTGCCCGGTGCCTCA